CGCCTCTGATTGGAATTCCCATTTGTTCACATTTTTTCGTCCATGGTTTTAAGATCTCCTCTAGAAATATTTTAAACAATGTTGGTGATGTGGAGCATCCTTGTAGCAGCCCTTTTGTTGTTTTAAAGCTTTTTGAGAGTCTATCTTCGATTTTTATAGATATTTGGTTTCCTTCAAACATTTTTTTAACGGTCTTTATTAATTTTTGTGGCAATCCGATGGTCTTCAGTGCCTTCCATAGTATCCCCCCTTTTTTTAGTTCTATAAAGGCTAAGTGAACCGCTCTATTTTTAGCCATTTTCTTCATCACTTGTTGTAATGTATGTATGTGGTCTATACAAGATCGAACCGCCGTAAAACCTGTTTGTTCTTCTCCAATTTTGCCTTTTATTTCTATTTCTAGTTTTGCCTTTACGAGTTTTCCATATAGTCTTCCCATAGATGATATTACGCTAATTCCTCTGTAATTTTCGCAATTTTTACGGTCGCCTTTTTTGAATCTCGATGTCATATATACAGTTGTCCAATCTTTTGCTAGTTGTTCTCCATTTATTGCTCTTAGAAACATTTGGTGTATCATTCGGTATAGTTTTTCTGATCCGTATTTTATTAGTTCAGGAACAATACCTCCTGGGCCGGCAGCATTATTATTATTCTTATTTTTAATGGCCATTTTTACTTCTTCTAAGCTAAGATCTATATCCTTTTGTTCGTCTGATGTGGTCTCCGAGTTTTCTCCAGTAAAAGTAGGTCTATCTTCTGTTAGCAGTTTTTTGTAGTATATTTCCCACATAGTGTCTGGTATGTATTCTAGATATACTTTTTCTTTCCTATTGGTTCTAAGAGATTTAGTTAGACGCCAGGATTCTGAATTACGCGTTCCTCCTATATATTGTTCCACATACTTCACTAATTTGCATAAATTCTTTTAATAAGTAATGTATAAAATTGAAAGCTTTATTGTGTCAAAAGTTTGACTCACACCACTTCAGTCAAGGGATTGCTTATAGGCACTAGCGGAGCGAGTTTCTAATAAACGCTTGTCCAAGGAAGTTTATGAATGAATGCATGTCATAAATGTAGAAAACGGGCAGAAACAGCAGAACTGAGAAATGTCAAAATACCAGCAGTGTTGTGTATCGCGAATAGGCGCTCGCTTGTCGATTAGTTGAAACGCGCAAATAATCGATGAATTATAATTAGAGACGTTGCACAAATTAGTGAATGCATGGATAGTAGTTTCTAAAAGTAAATGTTAAATTTTACACGGAAAGACTTATTTCATTTCAACTTCGGGTTTGATAAACCGAACAATTATGAAAAAGTAACGATATTTATAAGGGGAGGTTTAAAAGGTGATAAAAATTATAATAATTGCCGGGAAAACCCTAAAAACAACCATTTTCTTTTTCCCATATAAACGATGCATTAAACGACGAGAAGCACTTCATACAAATCTTCCAAAATTAAATCAAGAACAATGACTTGCGGACAACACTTTGATAGAAGTTGTGAACATTGAATCTGGTGGAAATTATTTCCTTGATGCTCTCTGGAATAGCTGCGACTCTGCTAGAAGGCGGGCGAACTGCACATTTTGCCTTGAAATTACCATTAAACATGCAAATCACCGAAGCACCAATTTGCAACATCGCAAAAAATAGCGCAATGGCCAAGATCCTACAGGTACGCAAATTGATTGTTTGGGATGAATGCACAATGGCCCAGAGGTTACTGGAGGCACTGGACGGAAGCGTCTTCCAGTTATTCCCCGATTAACTCTTGCTGGTGAACTAAATGCATGTCTAAAATCATCGAATTTGTGGCAGTATGTATAGACATTCCAAAACTGCAAATGTGTTTGCGAAGTAGTTCGTAGACATTGGAAATAATAAAGTTGCAATGGACACCTTGACCGGATTCATCACATTGCCCACAGATTTATGTCACTTCACAGACTCAAAATAGGAGCTTATTCAGCCTATTTTCCCAGATATAGCGCAAAAGTTCAACACCCATAATTGACTGGGTGAACCATTCAGATTTTTTTTCCAGCACAGTCGGTTTCCTTCAAACCAGTCGACACCGTTATGAACCAGGATGACGTAGTCAACTATCCCCACGAACTTTTTAAATTCACTGGAATTGTCTGGATTACCACCTCACAATTTTCAGTTAAAAGAAGGATCAGTTGTCATCATGTTGCGTAACATTAATCAACATCTTCTTTGTTTTACTTTTTTTTTCATTTTTTACCGCTATACAAAACAAGAAATATAGTTTATGAGAAAACTTTAAATTGATTAACAGACTTTATAATTACAGTGTGTCTGTCAATCTCAAATTTATACCTTATAAATGGCCAGTATTTCAGGAAAACTTTATGCTTCAATCAAAAAATTCTTTTTATTAAATAAGGATTCGTTTTGTTTATTTTATACAAAAGTTTAGGTCTTTTATGTATCATTTGAGACCGTGCGAAGTCTGCCGGGTCAATTTGTTGATTATAAAGCGTGGCATAACCTAATTATATTGAGACCTTCATTATTTTTAAACTTTTGAATGCGAAATATTGATTTCATCACCTATATCGCCATCGAACTTGCAGACTTTATAATATAAAAAATGGTCCTTAAGTTAATTCTATTGGAGTTTAGTAAACCGCCTATGTAGATGTCCTTAACGAATTTTAATCTTATATTGTATTTAAAATAGGAACAAAAAAAATTGAGTTTTATGCGTAAAGAAATGATATGGTGGGTGTCTGGAGTTGATGTGAGAAATCGTTAATCGAACTCAATTTTGACTTACTTGTTGACAGAATGGCTCGGAATTCGAATCGAAATAAATTTTAATACTAAGCCAAAACGGCTCGTAGGAACGGCGATATTTTTGCATTCAGCCGCAGCCGGACACAATATTAACAAAATACGAGCGCGGATTATTTGTTCAGCAAATACGGGGCACGCATTTCGAAAACAGCCCCCCGGGCATTATTTTGATTCGTTTGATAATACGGTACGCTTTTTGTTGGCAAAAGTAATCTAAACAAAACTTTCCGCAAGTAATATTTATTCTGTGTTATTACTTTCGTATTATACGTTCAACAACACGTATTTCGAAGTTTTCCTTTATACATTCGCTGTTTGCTTTTGCCGTTTTTGTTATTTCGTTGCGATCCGATAACTTTGCGTTGTGCTTTTAGACACGCTTTCTTCGTATGTTTCAACACAAGTTTTTAAATTTAAAACAAGCGCAGATTTAATATCATAAAACAAATAAATGGATTCAACAAATAAGTGGATTCTATTTTTATTTGTTGAGGTATTTCCCGCAAGCTCGAAAAAATTCCTCTGCGTAGTTCACATTCTCGTGTCTTCAGTTTTTCATTGCAGAATGTTTAATAGAATAATGCTGCCTGACCCTCGTACAGTACTACAGCATGCAGTGTGGTTTTCAAACCATCCAAACACCAAACGGCGAAAAAAAAAATCTAATTATTACATATTTATGTTATAAGGGGTAAATGTACAAGGTATATTGGTCGTCAAATATCAAAGCAAGTTTTTAGAGCATCCTTTATGATGTTTAAGAGCTTTTCGAGAGGACAACTAGAATATTCGACGTCCACTGCGACAAGATGCTGCGATCTATAAAGGCAAAGCACCGCTTCTTGGCCAATCAGTTAGCAAAGCGAAACTGCTATAAATAATAGACGTGATCCAAATTATTAGTATTGTGCGTAGCAAATAGTGACTTTAATTATTATTTTGGACGAAATAACTTTAACAATTACATCAAACTTAAAAAAATTCCCTGAACATTTAATCCGACACTCAACCCAATATACTTTAAAGGCGTGCTACTAAAAAATCCGAACTATATAAAAAATGTCAATAGTCACACATACTAGTCAATCGTATATAAAACAATATTGTTAACGCAATCCGAAATGTTTTTCAAAAAAACGAAATGTAGCTACAACGCGTTAAAATTTTCATATTCAAATTTTGTTTTTAAATATATAATGGCAACGTTTGTTCTGAATACAAAAGCAGATTTCGGCAATGTTTTACTACTTTTTGTACAATGTTAACGATACGAAATGGAGAATATAAAATAACGGGTCCCGTACATGAGCCTCACTGATTTGCAAAACAAAAGTAAATACGCTCGCGGAAAATGTTTGTTTACCGACAAAACAAACACCTCTATTTTAAATGTTTATTTTTAATCTTGTTTTCCGTTCCGTTGGACAAATACACAAGAATGTTGCCATAATATTCGCGGCAATAGTTGATCCATAAAATAAAATTTTACGCTGGGGAGTCGCAACCGTAAAGGTGTGTTATTTTATTCTCCACATTAGCGAATCATCGATGTTGCGCGTTATTATGGGTCATAGAAGCCCAGGAAAATATTATTGTTCCTACGTTCTGGTTCAACTGAAGACAATACAGTATATGTGACAAAATTCAAACCCCACACAAGGTTTTTTCTACAAATTTACAGGGTATCTCACTTATCCTTAAATATGAGCTAAAGATGGCGCAAACGGAGCAAAGCATTCTTGAACATTTTGTATTTCAAAGTATACTTTCTCTTTATCTTATGGAACTAATAGCTTTTGGTCATGCCACTTTTGCCTATAATTGAGTGGCCTTGTATATACAGGGTTAGTAAAAAAAGTTATCTAACTCCCTTTTTTGGAGAGCCTGTATACTATTGCCTATTTTGAACAATAATAATGAGATGTGTTAGTTCAGTTAGGAGTATTAGGTGCTATTCAAAATAGATTTTTGATTTTGCAAAATAATTGGATGATGTGATGATTTTAGCTACGTCTGCTGATCATTTTAACTTCTACGTTGTATTAGTTCCACACTTTTCAGTTTTTGGGCAACCTTTGTTTTGTCATTATAGTGGCAATGTTCATATTTGCAAATTATCTTATAAATGGTTTTATTGGACAAAAATCTTAAAATAAAATGTCTTTGCAGGCCAAAAAGCGGTTCAATGCTGTTGTATAGCAGAAAGAAGGTTCGATACCGTAGAGACGGATATTGCTGGAAGAAGAGGAAAGATGGGAAAACCACCCGCGAAGATCACATGAAGCTGAAAGTACAGGGAACCGAAGTGAGTGTTTTCTTCATAACAAATGTCTTCCTTCCCACCGATCGATAGATTTTTCCATAAAATATTTTATTTTAGTTTTGTAACTTGATTATACTACTCAACTATTATGTTTTTTAGTATTTCCTTTTCGTTATTAACATAAATCTAACAACAAATGAAAAAGTTGAATACTTGCATTGTAAGGTTGTAAGAACTTGGGGATTATTATCTGAGTTGACCTCACCGACAAATGAGTCACTGTAATAAAATATTTTAATTGTTAAAACCAAATTTACCACAATAATATTTTTGCGCAAGATACATTGAATCAATTCATTCGTTTTTCTTGTGTTATTTTATAAAATTATTTCAATGGCCGTTGTGCTCCATACTTAAGAGGCGCCGCGCTATTTTCGACATTTATTACAAAACTAGTTGTTAAAATTCCAATCAAAAATAATTTAACTACTTACGCGCAGATTGAAAAACGTTATTTATTCGAATTGAAAATCCGCAAATATATGGAGAAATGATGAAATTTTAATTGCATTTAGTGACGTAATTTAGTTTTAATTGAAACATTTTCATTTCGGCGTTAAACAAGTGTTTACTTTTTTGTTCGCTACGCAATTATAATTATTTTTGTTAATTCGAATAAAATTAATTTAATTGGCAACTTCAATAACGGTTGGTTTTTGAATTGAAACAATTAATACTGCATTGCTATTAACTTCAAAGGTTTTTCATTATTGACCGGTTCTAAATGCATTTATCATCATTTGTTCTGATTTTACAGTGGATTATACAGTTTGCCTACTTTTTTCTATCCATAATGTATATGTCTATATTGCCATTTTCTTAGTTTAAATTTTCAATATGGAAGTCGTATAGATTTCTGGGCAAAACTTTTTACTCTTCTAACAGAATTCCATTCCATCCGCGCTGCGATTTTGATTACATTTTTAAAATGGGGAGTTTGATATGCCCTAGTTGACCCCAGGTTGCCGGACTTGCAATCACAGGCTTGTTATGGGGTATATACAAAAAAAGCATAGTAAATACGCTCCATAGAGTGTAAAAGCAATCTACTTTTTAAAAAACAAATGGTCCTCCAACTAAAATTAAAAATTTGAGGTATTTTTAGACAAATAAGAGATTTGTATATAAATAAATAATTCATAAATATAATAATATAAATATAATAATATGATAAATAAATAATAATATGAATAAACTCAGACAGGTTCTCTGTATAAACTTGCACCTATTTTAAGATGTAGGTCTTAAGTTGAATTGATGAGTAGCCAAACTATCGTGTTTCCAATAATTAAGCAGCACCATGGAATCACGGGCTTTCACCATTTTGTCATTAATTCGTACGTCAGAGAATGAGAGCTGTATATGTAACTGAAAATAAACTGCTCTCTGCCATCCTGATGAGGTTTTAGTTAATGTTAATTGTTAATTTGTTAAAAAACAGTGGCATAACTTTCAAAAATCGCAGGAATTATATTTTCTTTTTACTACAGCAATATAGTTTTTTTTTTTAATACGGAATGTGTCAGTTCGCAATCCTGTATAATAAAAGCGTACTACTATTTATGAATATTCATTCTCCTGCGTCGGTTGTTTATCCGGAGTAGTCATTTTTTTTATCCTTACCCAACAGTCGAAAAAGAAAACAGAGCAAAAATTTCATACCAGTAGTTTCAAATTTGACGCACACACACTCACAATTACAATAATATTTCTTAAATTTGCGAACATAATTTTTCTCCCCAATTTTGTGGTTGGTAGCATAAAATTTTTCTATTATTTATATCATTTTAAAGATTCCCAATAAAAGGGGCGTTTGAAAATTGCCGAAAATGTATGCGAAAAATGAAATGCCTTAAAGGTAACTCAATAACTTCCTGCAGTAACATGTGTTTGCAAAGTTTAAACAAACTCGCAAAAAAAATAAAAACTAAGAATTTTTCAAGATCAAGATTAGTAACTCGGTTCACCGTTTCCGAAATCCAGGAGATGAGAGTCCAACTGCATACCTAATAAAATTGATGGAAACAGACACAAACTAAAGAAAAAAAGTATAAATACTTTAATGCGAGTAATTTAAAAAGTCATAACATTTACATAATACAGAATACCCCTTACATTTAGGGTCTGAGTTAAAATCGATTGTTCATGGTGAAAGGTTTATACACACGAAACCGCGATACATGGGGTCACGGAGCTTGCCAAACAGATAATGAAAACTTGACAATTTAAAATTCAAAGAGACTTGTAATCTAAATTGTGTATATGACGTTGAATTTTAAAATAAATTTTGAAATAATAGCGCTCCAATCAAAAATACAGAATTTATGAAGCAAAGCAAACTACGAGAATGCTAGTAAAAGTTATAACATATATAGTTATAACAATAATGCAATATGCAAAATCTGGACGAGAATAAAAAAAAAATTGTTAGTGCATCTATTCTAAAACTAATGGAAAGATGAAACACAAAAAGACCAAAACTTCCAATCGGAAATTGCTTAAACATATGTGTTTTTTTTTATATATTTCTGAAACGCTCCAAGTTACTTAAGTGAAATTTAGATCATAAATAACTTGAACTAGATCATAAAAGTTACTGCTCGCCAAATTTAAACTAAAAATAATTTACAATATGTTTGCTTCATACCTGTTTCTGAAACATTTATTATTTCCTGCGGTGATTTATGATTGCGCATAAAATTTAATTTATTAATTCGTTCAATTACCTGTTAACACTTTAAATAACTCCAATTATTTTTTTACTTTAAAATTATCGGCCTTAAAATAATTGTTTAAGGACAGAACATTGCACAACATTTTTGCAACAATTTTTATAAGGTAGTTTCTAGTTTTTCGCGTATTGCTGACTTAAGAAGAAGAAGAGGAAGAGGGTGTGAGAAAAAAATGGCGGTTAACTCTCGATTACCCGGTTTCACATTGTTCTAATAGAATATACTAAAATATTAAGTGAGTCACGTGCTCCCTTTGCCCTATACTTTACAAATAAAAGGTTTTTTAAGGTCTAAATTTCATTTAGGTATCTTAAACCGTTTCAGATATAATAAAAAAAAAACTGTTTTTTGCGGCCTGTTTTACAATATTATATAATATGAAATAATATGCAAATCAAGCGGTACAAAAATCATTTTTTCAATACTCAATTAAATTGAAAGACATTTTTTAAAATAAGCTAGGTTGCAAGTAGTCCTCAGTTTATCAGAGATTAGAAAGCCGACCCTCAGCAAGCAGGCTGAATGTTCATCTGAGTCCGCGTTTCATTCAACCGTCCACGATCCTGGAATTGTGTTTTTTAGTTAATTGAAGTTGCATTTGCATGGGGAACGTAAAACCGTGTATCCAGTAAATTAAATAAAAGTTCCGTTGCATTTTTTAAGGGCCCGTGTTTTGTGCTTGGCCGTCGGGCGTCATGTAAAATGCAACCTTTCTCATGCCCTCGCGGCTTTAAGGAGATATATTGCATCTGAGGTAATTCATTCCCCGTCCATTAAATGTGGGTTAAAAAACCATAAACATTTTTACGCCCTTTAGATGAGCTTCTTGTGTTTTTGCACTTTCATTTTTTTTTCTTCTCCTTTACTTGCGTCTGCCTGCCTTTCCGTGGCTTTATATCCCTTCCGCTAATGTAAGCCTAGTCTCGCCCCGAAAATCTGTGCAATTTAAAGCAAGATTAATGTTTTCCAAACGCCGGTTAATTAACCTAAACAATTACCCCATCTTAACGACGTTTCGCCACGAGAAAAGAAAATAAAATGGAATTAGTTTCGTCGGTGAAGCGAGTATTGTTTTTCTTTTTGTTGAGTTCTCTTCTTTTGGGATTGTTTTTCTTTTCTGGATAGCGTAGCTGTCATTATACAACACATATTGGAGTAGCTAAATACATTATCCACGAAATACATTTTCTTTCATATATCTCATACTAATTTAAGCCTTCCACAATGTACGTTTATTTTATAACACCCAACTATTAGCACCAAGAGGTAACAAAATAGTTAATATCTATTTAAAAATTTTGCGTTGCTTTTTCCAGTTATTGATATAATTCTCTAGTTACTGGCATTTTAAATATCCCTGTTATTGGCATTTGCGTCTAGTGATTGGCAAATTAATAAGCAAATAAGACAAAATAAATATTTATAATTTTAACAACATAAAATGTCGACCGTGTAATCTTTACGTTTATAAAATTTTTGAATCAATATATATATATATATATATATATATATATATATATATATATATATATATATATATATATATATATATATATTGCCAATGATGCCAGTATTGCGTTTATAGTAAAATTTGATGCTCAGTAGCCGGCAAATTTATAAAAACTGCTAAACTTTTATTACCGTGCATAATATTGCCCCAAATAACAATTTAAAACTCACCAGTTACTAACAAAACGTCTTTTTTTTTTCACGCGAAATACACGAAAACCATGTCTAAACGTTTATTTTTTTAGAACACTGTCACACACCGTCAATTTTGATTATAATAAGTGGGTACCAGAAGTGTACAGCATTCCATGCATATGCGGCAAAGAATACATTGGGGAGACCGGACGAAAAATATCAACTAGGCTCAAAGAAGATGAAACAGCCTTAAGACTAAGACAAATAAACTCACCAGCAGTTGCCAAACACAATCACGAAACCGGACATAAAATTTTATTTGATAAAACTAAAATTCTTGCATGTAATGAACTCTTCTAATAACCAAAAATCCTAGAGTCTATAGAAATCTATAAGCAACCTAACAAACTTAACCGCGAGTCAGCTGTCACCAATATGGGAATCAGTCATCTGAGACGGTGTTGATGCCCCTCACTTAGCTCCACCCCTCTCAAACAATATAAAAGCAGGTACAGAGTAAAATACGAGCCAGTTTGACTCAAGCTCTGAAGAAGCCGACAGGATGATTGAAATGTGCTTAAAAATAATTTTTATTTGTTTGACATC